TCAATAGAGTTTAATCATTTTTGGTTTTTTGATTTTTGGTAGAGCCTTGATCGTGAATGGTGACAACAGAATCAATGTCACAGATACAAAAAGCAGATAAAAAGCTAAATTCACTCTGGTTCTGGCTGAGATAAAGGACTGTGGGATGATACTTTTCCATTACCTTTACTCTATTGTGCGCCTTTTTTTTAGAGCTTCTCATGCTGCTTTCAGCTTCGCGGGTTCTGATAAACACATAACAGTCTTCGCCTGCCCTAGGGTTTTACAGATACACAGAAAAAGTCATTTTGAAGAATTTTTCCTTCATTTTAATGACCATAAAGGAGTTATGGGGATAAGAAGGCCTCATGTCGCTGACATAAGCATTTCTAAAGCAACGTTTTTCAACATGAAAGCTGTTGCTTTCACGCTGAGCTTATTGTAATGTCGTACTTTGTTGCCACATTTCCCACCTAATTCCGTTTTTACCTTGAAACCAAATGTTTCTTTACAGTCAGTAATTACAAGAAGAGCTCTCGGAGATCTTCTCTAACAGTCAGAATTAAGTGTTTCTGATTTTTATTTTCTGATCTGCAGGTGGTGAAAGACAGACTACTGGACTTACTAAGCAGAGAGGAGGAGGAGGAGAGTCACGGAGAGGACGTGGTAAGAGTGACCTTTACACTTTTTCTTGTTAGTCGTCTTCACTGAGAGCTCTTTGGAAGTGGAGCATGTAAATCTGGTATAATTCCACTCACTCTGATCATGCATATCAAACCGTGCCCTATTCCTGCTCCTCCACACAAGCATGTAGAAAGGGCACCCAAGCAAGACTAAGACTGTGTTCTGACCATGTCATGGCAATTTGGCAGGAAAGCTTAGCTCCAAAAGAGATGTCTTGATGAAACCAAGCAGCAACAACCACTGTCTTTAGTGTTAGTAATGTCAGCGACAGTATAAGGAGTACCATAATGTTGATGGACTGTCAAACTGTGCCCTAATTTAATATAAATTTAAAGGAGGATATCTGCAGAGTAGTCAGTGAGAATTATCAGCTTTCAGTAGCAGCTTATTAGACATTACTTTTTATTTTCTAATTGATTTTAATTTTGTTATTATTATTATTATTTAGTTTTTGTGTATTTATTATTGTTTGTTTTATTAAAACTGATATAATTGCTCATGTGTATATCCATATCTCTTATGCTAACAAAGTTAGCCAGTCATGACTGAGTTTCAGTTTTAATAAGGGAATAATTAGCTGGTCTACTGGTTAGCACTCCCAGTTATGTGAGTGCAGAGGTTAGCACTTTTCCCCTCACAGCAAGAGGGTTCATTACATAGGAAAAAAACCTCCAGAAGAACCAGGCTCAGGAGGGGGCAGCCATCTACTACACTCAGTTGGGGATGATGGAAAGAGAAGAGAGCAGAGAGAGACAGGACAAAATACATACTATAGAAGAGAGCCAGACTTTAATGATAGCTGATGAGTAAATGCAAAGTAGTATATAAATGCTCAGAAAATGAAAAGTGGTGAACTTCTGCACTTCACAGTTCATTATGCAAATTTCCCAGCAGCCTAGGTGCATTACATCGTGTCTAAGGGAGGGTTCAGAGTCACCTGATCCAGCCATAGCTATAAGCTTTATCACAATAGAAAGTTTCAAGTCTACTCTTAAATGTAGAGAAGGTATCTGTCTCCCAAATCCAAACTGGGAGCCCTCCCAATCTATTTTTAAAGAGAGCAACATGCTCTGTTGGGGTGATATGGTACTATGAGGACTTCAAGATAAGCTAGCACATGATTATTCAAGACCTTGAATGTGAGAAGAAGGGTTTTAAATTTGATTTTGAACTAACAGGGAGCCAATGAAGCGAAGCCAGTATAGGGGAAATATGCTCCCTCTTTCTAGTCCCTATTGGCACTCTCGCTGCAGCGTTCTGGATCAACTGAAGGCTTTTGAGGGAGCTTTTAGAACAACTTGATATTTACAATAGTCCAGCCTAAGTAATAAATGCAGTAAGCAACTTTTTATATCATCACTAATTGTTTTTATCCTGAGTTAGTATTAGGTTAGACACCATGTTTCTAAGATTTTTAGGGCCGAGTACAATAACCTTAAATTTATCATTTGTTTTGTTTTCCTGAATTCAGATTCAGGAAATGAAAACACATTAAAGCCAATGAGGGTTTGTGCATCTTATTGGTCAAGTAAAAACCTTTTGATCAGACCTTGCATACTTATACTAATTCAGTTTTTAGAGTTCAGGTGGAAGTTTGGTCATTCTAAATACGACCTGTATGATCTTGCCGCTTTATAATGTGACCTAGCCCTTGGCCTTTCACTCTTTTCCCCAGAGTTCCTGTGACCCTGTGGCAAACCACTCAGAGTCCATCAGCCACACCGTGACTGTCCCCTTGCAGACAACACTGGGCACCCTGGAGGAGATTGCCTGCTGAAGCCCGTCTCCCTTCCCCTCAGAGCAACACATATCCAGCGGCTGCCTCCACTAGGTGGCGCTACATCCTTCGCTACGGCATCCTGCAGGACCTTAAAAAGGGAGGGGAGGAGACAAGGACAAGAACACTGGTTGGTCTAAGGACAGCGCTTTGCTCTGTCACACCCCTCCCCCCCGTCTGAGGCACTAATAGGGATGAAGGAGCTGTCAGCTGGACTCATCAGCACTTTTTGTCACCCTGCAATGGGAGGGTGGCCTCTGCTGTGCCAAACCCGCAGTGGGGTCTGAGTCTCCACATGCACGCACACACAAAAAATGTGACTGGGTGGGACAATAACCCATAAAGGGGACGCATCCCTGTGCAGCATATTTATGTAAAATAACACAAATATGTTGCTCACTGCCAAACGAACTGTACAAAAATTGGTTTCGACTGTCCAAACTGCATGCGTCGATCTCTCTTGCTCTCTTTGCTGATGCATACGTTGGACTGCAGTGTTGCTTTACTCTATATGTGCGCCATTTGCCCCGCCCCCCCATCTGCAGCACAGGCCTGTAACAAGGGCCCAGGTGAGACATTGAACTTCGAATGTACAGATTGAACGTGTGGTTGTTTAAAATCATAGTTCAGGTTGTGACCAAACCTTCTCTTGAATCTATTCTAATGAGCAGTTTATCATTTATTACAAAATGCAGCTAATTATCTTTGAAGTAGAAGGAGTTGGTGAAGTGTGAGGGAGGAATAAAACTATTTTTTGCTTTGTTTATTGCAAACAGTGTGAACATTTAGGAGCCCACATTTTGCATATTCTTTTCACCTTTCAGTTTCTGTTTAACGAGTTTACTCGAAGGCAAGTTTGTTGCAGTGCTAAGCCCTTCTTTACAGGCATCTTTAAAATGATGCCGTATGCTTACATTTAATTTATGTGAATAAAGGACTTGCTTCTGGCCGCTGCACTTCACCAGAGGATTTATTTGCCTGCCAGACAGCAAGCCTTGTACAAAACACTGCAGTAAATGAATACGACCAGAGAGTTGTTAAACCATTATTTCATTAAGAGAATGTCAGGGTGAAATTTTGGACAGCTATTACCATTTTATCAAGAATGGCATCGTTTTGTCCTCGGCCAAAAGAAATCCCCAAGCTTAACAATTTTAAACCATTTTCATGATTATAAAAATGATTACAAAAGCACCATGAGGAGTGTTTGGCCAGGATGTTTGTTAGGATACAGGGTCTGCTGTGTTATGGTGTAAATAATTGTGTTTTATTTTCTCTCTATGGCTTTCATAAAAACGGGTACCACGCAGAGATGCCTGACGCAACTCTTATTCAAAAGAACTTTGGTGAAACGTCAACTCCAGGTCCACAATTGACTGCATATATGTCACGTTTCTTTAAGAATATTACTCATTCAGCAGTTCTAAGTAGGCCAGTATGTTATTGAGGTAGTTGAATGTCGTGCTAAAAATGAACGACCCATGCTTTTCAGTACAGGTTTAGCTGAACCTTGAGTGTACTCAAAAGCAACCATTACATACGTGGCTTCACACCAAAAGCTTTTGTGATACTACTCGGAAGATTTAGTGTATCTGAGTTTTTTGGGTTTGTTTGCTTGGGTTTTTTTTTTTTTATTTCTAGCCCATGATCATCCTGGCTTGGTCTCTGTCATCATGGTAATATACATTACAGGTAGGAATGAATTCAAGTGCTTTGTTAGACTGTTTGAATTATGATTTCCATCTGTGGCTCAACCTGCTGTCTGTGTGTATCTCATGTTGTGGCTTCAGACGAACAGAGTCCTCAGCTACCCTGCAGGGGGGAACGTAAACGTGTCTCTTCTCTCGCCGGCACCGACACTGGCTGTTTCTTCTGTCTACGTCAGCTTCAGTTGTTATTGGAGGACAGCGTTTTCTCATTTTGTGATGCGGCATACAGTGTGTGTTTTTAATGTGAAATGATTAAATGAAAACATTGTTTTGCAGCGGCTGGGGTGTTTTTGTGGTACGGATGAGCAAGACAAGCCTGTTTGCGTATCACCGGTGAACAGCAAGGACACTTAATGTGTTTTACAAGGGCATCAAGCAGGAAACAGAGGATCCGAAGAAGAGTTGCTGGGAATGAAAACTGA